GACGTCGGATGCCTACCAATTGGCCTTTCGTTAACTAGGTTTGCTGCCTCATAGCAGACTGTTTGCAACTCAGAGAAGGTCATCACACTCTCACCGACCGCTACCGTAATTGCCTTCTTCACAGACTTCACAAGAGCCTCTGAGGCCCCGTTCTGCCAAGGCGCGTCGGCCGGAACAAATTTCCATTCCATTCCCTTCGTGGCTCCGAACGCGGCCAGCTCATCCCAGTCCCAAGATGCCACAACTTTCTTGAGCTCCTCGTTTGCCGCTGTTAACTGAGTACCATTATCTGAAATCATTTTTGCTGGGTAACCTCTCAGTGACACAAATCGCCTTAAGACCATCAAGAATTTCTCAGTGCTGTAATTAGGCGCCAAATCTACATGGACTGCTCGCGTGCTAAGGCAGTTGAAGATGACGCCATATGCTTTGCCTGTGGTTCGCTTCTGGACTTCACCTCTAATCCTGAAGGGGCCAAATAAATCAACTGCCGTACAATTCCACGCTGGTGCTGGCTTAAGCCTTTCCTGGGGGAGCCGTCCCATCAGTTGCGTCGTAGTCTTCTTGTCCAGCTTCTTGCAAGTTACACAGTTGTATCTAATTGACTTTACTATCCTAGGCAGCCCGATGACCCAGAACCTTGATCTCACTTTGCTTGTCGTAGCAGATACTCCCTGATGGCCTTCTTCGTGTATATGTTTCGCGTACAAGCGGGATAACTCATGCCTAAACGGTAGAAGTGGAACTTCGCGCTGATTGTAGCTCATCTCCAGCCATTTCTCTGCACGTCCTCCTACCACAATTATCCCATCCTCTCGAACTCTTGGACACAGGCGTCTGAATCGTCCACGTTTCATGTCACTTAACATAGTTTCTTGGGCTTGGAGAATCCAGAATCGCTCCGCTTTAGTAACATCCACCGGCTCAAGGACTCTGGTAGCATTTCTGAAGCTCGGCTTATAATCGGTTCGGAACATGGCAAGCACTCTAGCCGTCACTCTAACCAGGCTCGTATAATCCGAATATCTACTTATGTCAATCCTGACTGCTAGGGAGTCTTTGGGCTTGGTGTTGGCTATCATTACGACCCTAGGTTCCTGTGGAAGCTCTTGTATGGCACAGATCCTACTAATAGGCCACTCAGACTCTGGCAACTTCAAGAAATCTGGACCCTTCTGCCACGCGCTGTTTAAGTCGATTTCGTTTGGCTCCTTGCCTCGAGTGAGCCAGTCGGCTATGTTCTGCTCGCTAACTACCCAGCACCAGTCTTCGGGATTAGTACCGCTTTGAATCTCTCCAATGCGTGTTGCAGCAAACGTGTTGTACCCATATGATTCCTTCTGGACCATGGCGTGTACTATCTGTGAGTCAACAATGTGCAAGCACGTGGTAAATCGATATCTCGACTCTCTCTCCAGGAGCTCTTTAAGACGCTTGCTCAGCACGGCTCCGCACAGCTCAATCCGGTCAATGGACATTGCCTTAACTGGCGCGAGTCGGTTCTTAGAGATGGCTAATCTGCTTTCAAACCCTCCACCGTTCAGTGCCCAACGGACGTGCGCACACGCACCATAAGCACTATTTGATCCGTCACTGAAGATCACCAGCATTGGGTCACCAACCGCATTTGTGGGCTTAAGGCATCTACCGAACTTGATGTTGTTCATGATAAATAAATCTGAAAAGAATGTATTCCACTCTGCTCTGCATTCGTCTGACACTGGATCGTCCCAGTCAAGCCGCTCCGCTTCACTCATCCACAGTTTTCTCATCATGATTTTCGCTCTAACGGTAAATGGACCTGCCAATCCAAGTGGATCATAGATGCTGTTGATCTGGGAGAGAATCATTCGCTTTGTCAACTTCGCAGGAAACCTCTCTTTTAGTTGATGGGATTCTATATCCGGCTCGGTATGCAGCTTTCTCTTTCGTCGGGAGAAATTCAACGTCACCTTGAAGCAAAACCGGTCCTCGACGGGTCTCCAACAAACTCCCAAGACTTTCTCTGCGGGTGCATACGTTTCACTGGGTATCTCCTTCTCATTTCGGCTGTCAGAGCTGCCCGAGATGGTCCAGCCTTTAATCTTGAATCCCCCTATGTCGACCAGCTTCTCTATGTTCCGTGTTACGCTTTCGGCTCTCTCCCTACCACCAACACTCTCAATGATGTCGTCCATGTAGGTGTTGTCTCTAATGATTTTGGCCTCTTGAGGGTACTTCTCTTGCGCCATTTCGGCCGTTTTTCTCAATGCTACTGTTGCGATGGTTCCCGACGGTCTATCGCCAAATGAGACTCTCTGTATGACGTAAGTGTCTGGCTCTTTCCTGGCGTCCATGTCTCTCCATAGAAACCGATGCGTGTGCTGTTCGAGCTGGGTGGTTCCCACGGAATGGTACATTTTCTTTATATCGCCAATTAACGCCACCTCATTCTCTCTAAACCTTATCAGCACACCCAGAAGGCTGTTCAGAAGGTCCGGTCCCTTGGCCCAATATTCAT